AGACCTTGCAAGCCCTGGAAACCCTGTCAGCCGACCTTGAGGACGAAAAGAACCCCAAAAGGGTTCCAGGGCATAACGGGATGTCCAGGCTCAGGTGGTCCCCAAGGTAAGCCGTATCAGCCCTAAACCCTGAACCCCAAATCCTAAACACTCGCTGTCATATGTATATTTAAACCTTTTTTTGCGACATCGGTCAATCTGGACCCCAATGTCTCTGCAGCTCCGGTCAATCTGGGTCCAATGTGGGTACACTTTTTGTTAAGGGTTCTGGGTTCGGGCACTAGCCGACTTCCGCCCCTTCCCCCCGTCCCCTCGGTTTTGCTGCAGTGGTCATCGCTGGGCAGCGTCGAAGCCGCCGGATTCCTGAATCGTGCTGCCAACAGATGCCGTCACTTTAACCCGAGATCAGCGGTGACGACTAACGCTTGATTCACACAGAAGGATACTCGGCCCTATGCGAAGGCACTCGAAAAGTTGGCTCCGAAGTGCAGCCTTGAATCACTCTGTGCCCACAGAGCCCAACTTACCCTTAAACGTATGTATATATATATATATATATGTATGCCCATGTCTGCGTGTGTGTATGTACATGTACATATTATATACTTATAAAACAAACACACATACATAGACATATATATATATATATGTATATGTATATGTATATGTGTATGTTTATGTGCACGTACAGTTGCTTGTATTTTCATATTTGCATACGTATATATATATGTACACAAAATAGATTCACTTTTTAAACATATATTCAGTAAGCTTGCTATGACTTTTCATATTCCTTCATTTAGAGGTATTGCTTTCTCTAGGTGTATCCCTCGGCCATGCCTGCTGCCACCACACATGCCGACATTGCCACAACGGCAAGCGCGCTCGCCCGCAGAGAGGCTTCCTGCATTGGGCGGCTCTGATCTTGGCTTCTGACTGACTCTGCTAACCTATGGCTTACCTCTCGCAATCACAAGACGTGCCTATATTCTTAAGGAGCTCTATGTGCACACACCAGAGTGCCAAGAGCAAAGCGGCCGTTGTGTCACTAGGGGGCTAACCATCCGAGGACTTCAGCTGTCATGCAAGAGTCCGAGGCAGATGACCGAGCTCCCCACCAGGGAAGACCGTGTCGGGGCGGCTCCTCCCCACTCCTTGGGTCGTGTGGTCGGGCTTCCGAAGCCGATTAACCCTTTGCAAGTGAGAAAACTAGATTTGTATATACATATATATATATAAATACTTATTTGTGATTATATGTATGTATATATATATATATATATATATACAGACACACACACACACACACACACACACACATATATATATATATATATATATATATATAATGTACACACACCTGGTTTGGGATCGAGCCGAGGGCAGCCTCTGCTTGGAGTATAGAGCCCATTCCCCAGTGCGAAAGTGCAGACGACGCCATCATATTACCGTATATTATTTGTATTATTATGATTGACAGTAATATGATTGCAATATGGTGGTAATAATATGGTAGTAAGAGTAGTTATAATCGTACCCCATTCCTCCATTTCCTACTAATCCAATGTAAGACTAAGGGAACAAGGACTGGAACCCTGGTGCCGTGACCTCTGCCTTCTTGAAAGGCAGGGCGCTCTACAGGACGCGCAAGCCAATGGGCAAGAAGCCACGTATGGTGGATGGGAAGACCATGGGCAGGGCTACGAGTGGGAGGTGCCGCAGCAACCTGCTGCCAGGACTTCGGAGACGTCAGAGGTCAGAGGCGGCAGACTTGGTTCGATCCATTCAAGAGATGGTCACAAGTGCCCGCAAGGCGGAGGTCAGGACGCGCAAACAGTTCACGCAGGAGCGAGACCGCTACCTCAAGAAGGCACTCAAGATCGACTTGGAGCTGCGAGACAGCCAGGAAGCGCAGAAGGCGGCATTCCGCGACCTGCAGGAGGCTATGGCCAACCCCGAGATGCTCATGAAGAAACCGGGGGCCAGGAGCAGTCGCGAAGCAGACCAAGCCTGGGACGAGACGACCTCATGGGGGGCACGGAAGACAGCGGATGGCCGAGGAAACCATGGCGCTTTTCAAGCGGCGTCTTCAGACAGTCATGAGCGAGCCGAGTCTCCACCGAGGACCAGGACGGCTACGACTCCGCTAACGCCGGCGCAGGCAGGTCGAGCCCCCAGACGAGGCACTACCACGCCTTTCTCGGAACTTGTGGTGAAGGGCACTGGGCCTGCGGATTGTCTTCACCAACTATACTTCCATGACAGCTCCATCGCCGAGAACCCGATCGAGGTCTGTGACGAGGCCAGCACAGGTCAAGGAGCTGGGACGAACTCCGCCAGCGAAGGCGGCCCTGTCTGGGAAAGAAGCTCGAAGAAGCGCGGTTCCCCTTGCTGCAGAGAGGGAGCTCATCTTTGACAGCGACGAGGACAGACCGTGGACGCGACAAGTCCTTGACAACATGCTCGTGGCGTGTGCAGAGCTGATCACGGAGGTCAAGACGGTCCAGAAGTGTGAAAGTCCTGTACGAGAAAAGACCCAGACGTTTGAGGCATTCCAGGAACAGCTGGATGCCGACTGGGACGGTGTAGTGAAGGAGAGGATGCACAGGCACGTGAGTACCCTGGAAGCTAAGTGGGACTCGGGCAGGCACGCTCCCGGCAGCCCAGCCGTGTTGGACAGGTCCTAATATCTTTGCTACCTTGTCCTCCAAAAGGTCTGGCAAGCTATGCTTGAAGGGCACCGGCCCCTCCTCCAGGCGCCTGAGGCGTTTTGGAGTCACCCTGTCGCGAGACCATTTCGCAATTTCAGGGCTCCACTTGCAAGTAATTAGGCGGCCTATTCCTCTGATCGCACGATATTATATATATATATATATATATATATATACATACATATTTATTTGTTCATATACGTGTGTCTGCACGCATGCATGCATGCATGTAGCATGCATGTATGCATGCATGCATGTATGAATGTGTACCCATATTCATACTCATTGTCATATTCGTATATATACATATATAGATAGATAGCTGAGGGTCTTATACGTATTGCATCAAGGGTGTTGCTTGGCAAGGGTGTTTTAAACAGTTTTATATGAAGTTCACAGTTTATTCTCAAGTGAGGGGTTACAGTATTATTATAGTATAGATATATTCTAGTTATTTTATAGTAACTATTGAATTGTGGCAATATTGCAGTATCATCATAATACTGAGAGGTATTGGGCACTCTGCGGTGGGATTATGGGGCCGTACAAGGGCTAGGCAGCTTCTTCCAGCGGATGTCCTAGAATAAACAGAATCTAGACTATTGATTCGGGGTAAGCCCTAAACCCTAAACCTTAAACCCTAAACCCGAGGGTTTAGGATGACTTAAGAACGGTTACTAGGGCTCAAGATGGTTGAAGGGGTTGGGGATTTCGGATGATCTAGGGATGATCAGGACTGAGGAGTCGGGCCAATAAGAGGCATCTGAGGACGACCGCGCTTGCAGACTATGGTATTAGTATAGTACTAACTGTAGGTTAATATAGCATTACTACGGAAAAAATTGATGAAGGTTAGGGTTCCGGCCAGCTCTCAGCAAACGATCTGCAGTCCGATTTTGCACTGAATCGCAAATGGCTCTATGAATCATGCACGCATGTACTGGAAACGGCTTCAATCAGCCGGAGCATCGCAATGTCGGCAAGAGCACTGGGAGAGACCACAACAGTAACGAACAACCACAAACACTATCCTGCACACGAACGGTCCTAAACAAAACTCACTGCTGTGGTCTTGCAGACAAGCCGATGACTGTTTCCTGCATTTCGGAGCCGCAGAGATATCGGACTCTGCACCAATGGGAAGCAACTGGCACGGGGTTCGGAAGTGTCTTTGAGGACATCACAGAAGGACCAGGCAACAATGAGTTCTCCGTCGGCTCAAAAAGACAAACCGAAGATTGACCACGGATTCTGCCAAGGAACAGAAACATGCACTGGAGAGTGGGCAGTGTGAGCAAGGACAATTGAATCAGGGCGGGCTGAACCGACGATGCACCTTCCTGACTCTCTGAAACCCTACGCATGGGTTGTTGCCGTACTATCATAGGGACCCAAAACAGGAACATAATTTTGACAATCACCCACCTGGTTTGACAATGAGCGTGTGCAGTAGACTCTGCCTCTTCTAAGAGTCGCGATGCATTCTTCCTCTTGCCACGGCACTCGGTGTGTAATTCACTTCTGCATTGCAATCAACGTTGCTGTCTCTGTTTGCTTCGGCCGTATGACATTATGCCATTGAAAGACCCAGTCATGCAAGTCTCGGCATTACATAGGGTGATGTCTTCGCGCACTGTGCTACCACTAACACCGTCACTGTCACTACCACAGTCACTGCCTGTTTGCTGTGCGACTACGACCACCACCACTCTGCTGTTGTTACTCCTGCTTCTACTTCTGCTTCGTCTTCGTCTTCTACAACAACGACGTCGACGACAACAACTACAACTAGAAGTACCACTACCACTGCCAGTGCCACGACCACGGCTACTTCCATCAATTCTACTACCTCGAGTTCTGCCACGACTACTCGTAACATTGTAATTACTTTCTCTACTGACGCCCCGACGGCTTCCAGCACTGGTGCTGCTAGTCCGACGTCCGACCAGCTACTGCTGCCAATCAGGATGCAACTCCGGCTCCAACTGCGAAGCTGCCACTGCTAATGCGACGATGATGACGACTACGGCTTCGACTACGGCCACGATCAATGATGATACCACAACCACGACTACGACCTCCACCACTGCTACTGCAACTGCTACTGTTTCTGAGAAGAGGCAACATTTTGCAACGTTTTGTACATCAGTTTGTGGACGATGCTTCTGTGCTCCGATCCGTACTGTCCGGGTGTGGTTCAGGCTTTAATTGTAAGTCCAAGTCTTCTGCGGCGCTTGTTTGGGAATGTCCTTGCTCCAGCGAAATCTGCGAATTTGGCTGCTGGGCGCATCAGCACTTGCAGCACTGCTGCGCTCGTCGCTCTCGCGCGTCTCTCATGATGCTTTTGAAGCGGCCGCCATCCACGTAGTCCCGGAAGTAGTCCTGAATGAACTGCGTCAGCTTTACTGGGGCCTGTTCTTCTTCACGGCGCATGGCTGAGCCAACTTCCTCTGCCTTCGTCCGGATCGACTGCGAGTTAATGCACTCGTTGATTGCTGCAGCGATTGTCGAGGGTGTCTGATGCCGAAGATGCTTCAGGCCTTTTCCGATGCCCATCTCGTTGATCTTTCTTGAATGGTCATACTGGTCTAACAAAATCGGTATGATGATGGTTGGTTTCCCCGAGCGGACGGAGGCATTCATGGTTCCTGCGCCACCATGGTGAACGATGGCCTGGCACCGCGGGAAGAGGAGGCCGTGAGGTGACTTGGGCATGAAGAGCACGTTGCGATTGATGTACTCAGTCAGCTCCAACTCGTCAGCTTCACCTTCCACATGCTGCAGGTCTATACCCGCCCAACCTGCACAGATCACGCCACGCAGGCCGGTAAGGTGCAAGGCACGGGCGCAGAGCAAAGTCATATACTTGGGCGTGAAGACCTTCATGGACCCAAAGCCGATGTAGACCGGAGCATCCCCCTGGGCGAGAAAGTCTTCCATCCTGGGATTCTATTTTGAGTTACCATCATAAGGGAACCATCGTCTATTATGTACTACGGACATGGCAATTTAGATACACTAAATTGGGGAAACCATATTATGTACTAGAGAAATGGCAACTTAAACTAAATTCCGACTTAACGAATTCACAAGAGCCCAGCTTCTGCTGCATCTGGTCGCTGCCAAACTCATGCCCTGACTGACTGCTCGGCGCCAGCATGAGCGGACCAAGCGAAACGACTGTTTTGTAGTGCTTTCCCCAATCATCGCCATTGATGACTGTACTTTGTGCGACAAGATTTGGAAACACTGCTTGTTCTGACCAGTGCTCCAGCCAAGGTTGCGTTGTGATCTTTTTGGGCATGGACTTGCGCAGCTCCGGAGGCAAGACTTCCGGGATGCAGTCTAGCTCCTTCCGTTGCATCTTGAGGATCATTGACATCATGAACATGTTGAGTTGCCAGTTCAGAGGTTTCAATAATCGCGGAAGGTTGATGCTGGCCATGTTCCAGTCACGTCCCGCCGGTGTCTGAAGAGCGAAGTTCACGAAAGGGATGTCGTCGAAGATCTCGCTGAAGATACTGACCTCGATCAGGGTCATAAAGGCGGTGAGAACGAGCTCTGGCTTGAAAGTCGAGAACAAATCGTAGAGAGCCTTCCTCTCCGCAATCATCTCATCTCGGTCAGACCTTACCGGTACTGTGGGCATCTTCTCGTGGCTGATGGCATCAGAGAATTTGTCGGGCCAGTTCCGGAGGATGCTCTGACGAACGCGTTGAAACGGAAGGTCATGGTCAGCGGCCATCCCTGCAGCATCACCTGGGCCACACAGATGCACCTCGTAACCAGCTTCACGCAAGATGGTGCCAGCAACAACATACGGCTGCCAGTCACCTCTTGAACCGGTGTAGACGATGAGGATACGCCTGGGTGTGGAGGAGGTCGCCATGGAGCTGGACCGGAAAACTCGAGAGCGTACAAGAGAGCCAATGAAACTTCGGCATCACTTGTTTTAGATTATTCGCCCTCGGACTTCGCGCCCTGACCTCTACCTCTCGAGACCTTATAAATTTAAAACGCACCTCCTAGTGAGAATGACAAAACACGCAATTGTTACAATGATTCATGCAGGCTATAGTATTAGTTATGGCAATAATCACGACTCACCCAGCCTAGCAACAGCGACATCAGCCGTAGCAAAATAACAACAGCAAGACTCCTGACGAACAACAATCACAGTAACAGCAACCGTCATAATTACCGCCGTTGTAATCGCGTGCCCAACCACAGCAGTAACGACGAGAAAGGAGTAGCGATCACAGCAATCCCAAGAAAGATAAGAAGCACTATGAATAGTACGGCAGCACTACTCACTGCAGTGATCGCGAGACGAAAAAGAAAGCAACTCCAGTATTTTTAGGCCACTGAAGAACATATGGGTAATCATTGCAGTCCCACGACAGACGTGCGGCGGTGGTGGTAGTAGTGCTGGCTACAGTAGTACTGTGGCGGAGCAGCAGCAGCAGCAGCAATAGCGGCAGCAGTGGCAGTGGCGGCGGCAATGACAGTAGCGTAGCAGTAGTCGTCGTCGCAGTAGCAGTAGTAGTACTTGGAGCCCTACAGGAAAGCTGCCCCCAAACCGCAAATCCTAAAGACTGGGCATACTTTGAGCCTTGCTGCGGCCACCACCGCATCCAGCTTCTCGCACGAAGGAGGAAAGAGCGACCTGGCCCAGTAATACCCTGTAGGTTTAGGATTTTGGCCTTTCTGTGTTGGCTGGATTGAGCGCTTGGGGTTTTACCCCGTTTGTTTGTGGGGTGTAGTCTCTATGTCAATAACTGAACGGTCGGAAGAAGGGCGGTCTCTGGAAAGCCCTGGCCTTTTTGGTCTCGTGGGACTTTGGCGCTTAGCATTTAAGATGATTTCAGGGCTGGGGGTTTGGTGGTTTGGGGTTTCCTAAGCCCTCTAACTCCTAAACGGGCTTGTGGTGTTGATCTCCGTTAGTATGACTTCTTTGTTGATCCGTCAGGATTTGGCCTGCTGTAAGCAGAGATTCGGCGCTCCAGGCAGGGGCGCTGACAACTAGAACAAAGGTTTTCGGGCATACTAAAGAATACAGCTATAACTTTAAGAAACACTAAGAATAGCTCTGAGCATTTTCACGCCTCTACACTAAGTCCGCATAGCCTGTGGAGGATGAGAGGAGAGCTACTCCAAACACAACTTGTGGTTATGGAGTTGGAGTTTGGGAGTTCAGATCGTCAAACATTGTCGTTGCAAGTTCTACGGCTTTCAGAAACTCAGCGCTTAAGCTTTCGATCTATCAGTTTGCACGGTTGTGGGGTTAGGTTTTGTATGTTTGGCGCTTGAGGCCAAGAGTTCAGGGTCTGAGGGCTGGGATCAAGGTTCCCAGAGACTCCAATATCCCTTAATTAAGGAATATTCCTTAAATCATGGTAGGACCCCTTATATCATTTAAGGTATATTCCTTAATTAAGGGATATTGGAGTCTCTGGGTTTAGGGTTTCAGTTTCGGGCCCCTAATCCGTGCCGGACCCCTGCACATACGCGGCAAGCTTCTCTGGCCTCGCACGAAACTGAAGACGTGTCCGCTTGGAGTGGCCCAGACTACGGACATAGCTTAAGGCACTTGGATGAAAGCAAAGGATGAGTTCAGAGCCTCTGGCTACTGTAGATGCATTATGTGTGGGTACATACATATGTATGTATGTATGTATATATGTATATATACATACGCACAGAAATATTCATCTGTATATATATATATATATACACCTACAGAGAGAGATATGTGATGTATGTGTGTGCATGCCTAAAATCCAAGGTATAGGTACCCTACCGGGGCATTACTATAGACTTAAAGGATCATGGGACTTAGTAACTGGGGATATAAATAAGGTAACTATACTTATAACCACTTCTAAGCCCACTTAAGGTACTTATAACTTGACTTACTAAGTCCCATGATCCTCCAAGTACCCCACACCCTGAACCCCATAAATCCTGCAAACGCCCTTTGAGCCTGAGGTCCGCAGCTGTCGGTTTCATGGTTTAGGGCCGCTACGGTGACGTAGTTAGGCGAAAACATCTATGGGGCCGTAGCATTCTTGTCGAAGCGAAACTGCTGCGCTGTCACGACAAACCTCCCCGGCCCCTGCACTCTTCGACCTCTCATGCTTCCTATGCTTCTCGCAATCCGGTTGCACCAACGCATCAAATTGTCTCAGGCAGCCAAGCTCCTATACCCCGATGAACCCTATAGACCTTGCAAGCCCTGGAAACCCTGTCAGCCGACCTTGAGGACGAAAAGAACCCCAAAAGGGTTCCAGGGCATAACGGGATGTCCAGGCTCAGGTGGTCCCCAAGGTAAGCCGTATCAGCCCTAAACCCTGAACCCCAAATCCTAAACACTCGCTGTCATATGTATATTTAAACCTTTTTTTTCGACATCGGTCAATCTGGACCCCAATGTCTCTGCAGCTCCGGTCAATCTGGGTCCAATGTGGGTACACTTTTTGTTAAGGGTTCTGGGTTCGGGCACTAGCCGACTTCCGCCCCTTCCCCCCGTCCCCTCGGTTTTGCTGCAGTGGTCATCGCTGGGCAGCGTCGAAGCCGCCGGATTCCTGAATCGTGCTGCCAACAGATGCCGTCACTTTAACCCGAGATCAGCGGTGACGACTAACGCTTGATTCACACAGAAGGATACTCGGCCCTATGCGAAGGCACTCGAAAAGTTGGCTCCGAAGTGCAGCCTTGAATCACTCTGTGCCCACAGAGCCCAACTTACCCTTAAACGTATGTGTATATATATATATACATATGTATGCCCATGTCTGCGTGTGTGTATGTACATGTACATATTATATACTTATAAAACAAACACACATACATAGACATATATATATATATATATATATGTATGTATATGTATATGTGTATGTTTATGTGCACGTACAGTTGCTTGTGTTTTCATATTTGCATACGTATATATATATATATATGTACACAAAATAGATTCACTTTTTAAACATATATTCAGTAAGCTTGCTATGACTTTTCATATTCCTTCATTTAGAGGTATTGCTTTCTCTAGGTGTATCCCTCGGCCATGCCTGCTGCCACCACACATGCCGACATTGCCACAACGGCAAGCGCGCTCGCCCGCAGAGAGGCTTCCTGCATTGGGCGGCTCTGATCTTGGCTTCTGACTGACTCTGCTAACCTATGGCTTACCTCTCGCAATCACAACACGTGCCTATATTCTTAAGGAGCTCTATGTGCACACACCAGAGTGCCAAGAGCAAAGCGGCCGTTGTGTCACTAGGGGGCTAACCATCCGAGGACTTCAGCTGTCATGCAAGAGTCCGAGGCAGATGACCGAGCTCCCCACCAGGGAAGACCGTGTCGGGGCGGCTCCTCCCCACTCCTTGGGTCGTGTGGTCGGGCTTCCGAAGCCGATTAACCCTTTGCAAGTGAGAAAACTAGATTTGTATATACATATATATATAAATACTTATTTGTGATTATATGTATGTATATATATATATATATACAGACACACACACACATATATATATATATATATAAAATGTACACACACCTGGTTTGGGATCGAGCCGAGGGCAGCCTCTGCTTGGAGTATAGAGCCCATTCCCCAGTGCGAAAGTGCAGACGACGCCATCATATTACCGTATATTATTTGTATTATTATGATTGACAGTAATATGATTGCAATATGGTGGTAATAATATGGTAGTAAGAGTAGTTATAATCGTACCCCATTCCTCCATTTCCTACTAATCCAATGTAAGACTAAGGGAACAAGGACTGGAACCCTGGTGCCGTGACCTCTGCCTTCTTGAAAGGCAGGGCGCTCTACAGGACGCGCAAGCCAATGGGCAAGAAGCCACGTATGGTGGATGGGAAGACCATGGGCAGGGCTACGAGTGGGAGGTGCCGCAGCAACCTGCTGCCAGGACTTCGGAGACGTCAGAGGTCAGAGGCGGCAGACTTGGTTCGATCCATTCAAGAGATGGTCACAAGTGCCCGCAAGGCGGAGGTCAGGACGCGCAAACAGTTCACGCAGGAGCGAGACCGCTACCTCAAGAAGGCACTCAAGATCGACTTGGAGCTGCGAGACAGCCAGGAAGCGCAGAAGGCGGCATTCCGCGACCTGCAGGAGGCTATGGCCAACCCCGAGATGCTCATGAAGAAACCGGGGGCCAGGAGCAGTCGCGAAGCAGACCAAGCCTGGGACGAGAAGACCTCATGGGGGGCACGGAAGACAGCGGATGGCCGAGGAAACCATGGCGCTTTTCAAGCGGCGTCTTCAGACAGTCATGAACGAGCCGAGTCTCCACCGAGGACCAGGACGGCTACGACTCCGCTAACGCCGGCGCAGGCAGGTCGAGCCCCCAGACGAGGCACTACCACGCCTTTCTCGGAACTTGTGGTGAAGGGCACTGGGCCTGCGGATTGTCTTCACCAACTATACTTCCATGACAGCTCCATCGCCGAGAACCCGATCGAGGTCTGTGACGAGGCCAGCACAGGTCAAGGAGCTGGGACGAACTCCGCCAGCGAAGGCGGCCCTGTCTGGGAAAGAAGCTCGAAGAAGCGCGGTTCCCCTTGCTGCAGAGAGGGAGCTCATCTTTGACAGCGACGAGGACAGACCGTGGACGCGACAAGTCCTTGACAACATGCTCGTGGCGTGTGCAGAGCTGATCACGGAGGTCAAGACGGTCCAGAAGTGTGAAAGTCCTGTACGAGAAAAGACCCAGACGTTTGAGGCATTCCAGGAACAGCTGGATGCCGACTGGGACGGTGTAGTGAAGGAGAGGATGCACAGGCACGTGAGTACCCTGGAAGCTAAGTGGGACTCGGGCAGGCACGCTCCCGGCAGCCCAGCCGTGTTGGACAGGTCCTAATATCTTTGCTACCTTGTGCTCCAACAGGTCTGGCAAGCTATGCTTGAAGGGCACCGGCCCCTCCTCCAGGCGCCTGAGGCGTTTTGGAGTCACCCTGTCGCGAGACCATTTCGCAATTTCAGGGCTCCACTTGCAAGTAATTAGGCGGCCTATTCCTCTGATCGCACGATATTATATATATATATATATATATATATATACATACATATTTATTTGTTCATATACGTGTGTCTGCACGCATGCATGCATGCATGTAGCATGCATGTATGCATGCATGCATGTATGAATGTGTACCCATATTCATACTCATTGTCATATTCGTATATATACATATATAGATAGATAGCTGAGGGTCTTATACGTATTGCATCAAGGGTGTTGTTTGGCAAGGGTGTTTTAAACAGTTTTATATGAAGTTCACAGTTTATTCTCAAGTGAGGGGTTACAGTATTATTATAGTAAAGATATATTCTAGTTATTTTATAGTAACTATTGAATTGTGGCAATATTGCAGTATCATCATAATACTGAGAGGTATTGGGCACTCTGCGGTGGGATTATGGGGCCGTACAAGGGCTAGGCAGCTTCTTCCAGCGGATGTCCTAGAATAAACAGAATCTAGACTATTGATTCGGGGTAAGCCCTAAACCCTAAACCTTAAACCCTAAACCCGAGGGTTTAGGATGACTTAAGAACGGTTACTAGGGCTCAAGATGGTTGAAGGGGTTGGGGATTTCGGATGATCTAGGGATGATCAGGACTGAGGAGTCGGGCCAATAAGAGGCATCTGAGGACGACCGCGCTTGCAGACTATGGTATTAGTATAGTACTAACTGTAGGTTAATATAGCATTACTACGGAAAAAATTGATGAAGGTTAGGGTTCCGGCCAGCTCTCAGCAAACGATCTGCAGTCCGATTTTGCACTGAATCGCAAATGGCTCTATGAATCATGCACGCATGTACTGGAAACGGCTTCAATCAGCCGGAGCATCGCAATGTCGGCAAGAGCACTGGGAGAGACCACAACAGTAACGAACAACCACAAACACTATCCTGCACACGAACGGTCCTAAACAAAACTCACTGCTGTGGTCTTGCAGACAAGCCGATGACTGTTTCCTGCATTTCGGAGCCGCAGAGATATCGGACTCTGCACCAATGGGAAGCAACTGGCACGGGGTTCGGAAGTGTCTTTGAGGACATCACAGAAGGACCAGGCAACAATGAGTTCTCCGTCGGCTCAAAAAGACAAACCGAAGATTGACCACGGATTCTGCCAAGGAACAGAAACATGCACTGGAGAGTGGGCAGTGTGAGCAAGGACAATTGAATCAGGGCGGGCTGAACCGACGATGCACCTTCCTGACTCTCTGAAACCCTACGCATGGGTTGTTGCCGTACTATCATAGGGACCCAAAACAGGAACATAATTTTGACAATCACCCACCTGGTTTGACAATGAGCGTGTGCAGTAGACTCTGCCTCTTCTAAGAGTCGCGATGCATTCTTCCTCTTGCCACGGCACTCGGTGTGTAATTCACTTCTGCATTGCAATCAACGTTGCTGTCTCTGTTTGCTTCGGCCGTATGACATTATGCCATTGAAAGACCCAGTCATGCAAGTCTCGGCATTACATAGGGTGATGTCTTCGCGCACTGTGCTACCACTAACACCGTCACTGTCACTACCACAGTCACTGCCTGTTTGCTGTGCGACTACGACCACCACCACTCTGCTGTTGTTACTCCTGCTTCTACTTCTGCTTCGTCTTCGTCTTCTACAACAACGACGTCGACGACAACAACTACAACTAGAAGTACCACTACCACTGCCAGTGCCACGACCACGGCTACTTCCATCAATTCTACTACCTCGAGTTCTGCCACGACTACTCGTAACATTGTAATTACTTTCTCTACTGACGCCCCGACGGCTTCCAGCACTGGTGCTGCTAGTCCGACGTCCGACCAGCTACTGCTGCCAATCAGGATGCAACTCCGGCTCCAACTGCGAAGCTGCCACTGCTAATGCGACGATGATGACGACTACGGCTTCGACTACGGCCACGATCAATGATGATACCACAACCACGACTACGACCTCCACCACTGCTACTGCAACTGCTACTGTTTCTGAGAAGAGGCAACATTTTGCAACGTTTTGTACATCAGTTTGTGGACGATGCTTCTGTGCTCCGATCCGTACTGTCCGGGTGTGGTTCAGGCTTTAATTGTAAGTCCAAGTCTTCTGCGGCGCTTGTTTGGGAATGTCCTTGCTCCAGCGAAATCTGCGAATTTGGCTGCTGGGCGCATCAGCACTTGCAGCACTGCTGCGCTCGTCGCTCTCGCGCGTCTCTCATGATGCTTTTGAAGCGGCCGCCATCCACGTAGTCCCGGAAGTAGTCCTGAATGAACTGCGTCAGCTTTACTGGGGCCTGTTCTTCTTCACGGCGCATGGCTGAGCCAACTTCCTCTGCCTTCGTCCGGATCGACTGCGAGTTAATGCACTCGTTGATTGCTGCAGCGATTGTCGAGGGTGTCTGATGCCGAAGATGCTTCAGGCCTTTTCCGATGCCCATCTCATTGATCTTTCTTGAATGGTCATACTGGTCTAACAAAATCGGTATGATGATGGTTGGTTTCCCCGAGCGGACGGAGGCATTCATGGTTCCTGCGCCACCATGGTGAACGATGGCCTGGCACCGCGGGAAGAGGAGGCCGTGAGGTGACTTGGGCATGAAGAGCACGTTGCGATTGATGTACTCAGTCAGCTCCAACTCGTCAGCTTCACCTTCCACATGCTGCAGGTCTATACCCGCCCAACCTGCACAGATCACGCCACGCAGGCCGGTAAGGTGCAAGGCACGGGCGCAGAGCAAAGTCATATACTTGGGCGTGAAGACCTTCATGGACCCAAAGCCGACGTAGACCGGAGCATCCCCCTGGGCGAGAAAGTCTTCCATCCTGGGATTCTATTTTGAGTTACCATCATAAGGGAACCATCGTCTATTATGTACTACGGACATGGCAATTTAGATACACTAAATTGGGGAAACCATAGTATGTACTAGAGAAATGGCAACTTAAACTAAATTCCGACTTAACGAATTCACAAGAGCCCAGCTTCTGCTGCATCTGGTCGCTGCCAAACTCATGCCCTGACTGACTGCTCGGCGCCAGCATGAGCGGACCAAGCGAAACGACTGTTTTGTAGTGCTTTCCCCAATCATCGCCATTGATGACTGTACTTTGTGCGACAAGATTTGGAAACACTGCTTGTTCTGACCAGTGCTCCAGCCAAGGTTGCGTTGTGATCTTTTTGGGCATGGACTTGCGCAGCTCCGGAGGCAAGACTTCCGGGATGCAGTCTAGCTCCTTCCGTTGCATCTTGAGGATCATTGACATCATGAACATGTTGAGTTGCCAGTTCAGAGGTTTCAATAATCGCGGAAGGTTGATGCTGGCCATGTTCCAGTCACGTCCCGCCGGTGTCTGAAGAGCGAAGTTCACGAAAGGGATGTCGTCGAAGATCTCGCTGAAGATACTGACCTCGATCAGGGTCATAAAGGCGGTGAGAACGAGCTCTGGCTTGAAAGTCGAGAACAAATCGTAGAGAGCCTTCCTCTCCGCAATCATCTCATCTCGGTCAGACCTTACCGGTACTGTGGGCATCTTCTCGTGGCTGATGGCATCAGAGAATTTGTCGGGCCAGTTCCGGAGGATGCTCTGACGAACGCGTTGAAACGGAAGGTCATGGTCAGCGGCCATCCCTGCAGCATCACCTGGGCCACACAGATGCACCTCGTAACCAGCTTCACGCAAGATGGTGCCAGCAACAACATACGGCTGCCAGTCACCTCTTGAACCGGTGTAGACGATGAGGATACGCCTGGGTGTGGAGGAGGTCGCCATGGAGCTGGACCGGAAAACTCGAGAGCGTACAAGAGAGCCAATGAAACTTCGGCACCACTTGTTTCAGATTATTCGCCCTCGGACTTCGCGCCCTGACCTCTACCTCTCGAGACCTTATAAATTTAAAACGCACCTCCTAGTGAGAATGACAAAACACGCCACTGTTACAATGATTCATGCGCAGACTATAGTATTAGTTATGGCAATAATCACGACTCACCCAGCCTAGCAACAGCGACATCAGCCGTAATTAGCAAAATAGCAACAGCAAGACTCCTGACGAACAACAATCACAGTAACAGCAACCGTCATAATTACTGCCGTTGTAATCGCGTGCCTAACCACAGCAGTAACGACGAGAAAGGAGTAGCGATCACAGCAATCCCAAGAAAGATAAGAAGCACTATGAATAGTACAGCAGCACTACTCACTGCAGTGATCGCGAGACGAAAAAGAAAGCAACTCCAGCATTTCTAGGCCACTGAAGAACATATGGGTAATCATTGCAGTCCCACGACAGACGTGCGGCGGTGGTGGTAGTAGTGCTAGCTACAGTAGTACTGTGGCGGAGCAGCAGCAGCAGCAGCAGTAGCGGCAGCAGTGGCAGTGGCGGCGGCAATGGCAGTAGCAGTAGTCGTCGTCGCAGTAGCAGTAGTAGTACTTGGAGCCCTACAGGAAAACTGCCCCCAAACCGCAAATCCTAAAGACTGGGCATACTTTGAGCCTTGCTGCGGCCGCCACGGCATCCAGCTTCTCGCACGAAGGAGGAAAGAGCGACCTGGCCCAGTAATACCCTGTAGGTTTAGGATTTTAGCCTGTCATAATGCAGGGGCGCTAACAATTAGAACAAAGGTTTTCGGGCAGCATATTAAAGAATACAGCCATAACGTTTGGAGTTTCCGAAAATAGGGGACCCCAATATAGTACCCTAAATAGCAGGATCCTTATTATAAGCACCCCAATATTAAGAAACACTAAGAATAGCTCTGAGCATTTTCACGCCTCCACACTAAGTCCGCGTGGCCTGAGGAGGATGAAAAGAGAGCTACTCCAAACAGATTTTGTGGTTACAGCACAGAACTCGAGTTCGGGAGTTCCGGGCGTCAAACACGTTGCAAGTTCTACGGCTTTCAGAAACTCAGCGCTTAAGATTTCGATGGTGCAGTTTGCACGGTTGTAGGGATTCTTTGGAGCTTGAGGCTAAGAGTTCAGTGTCTGAGGGCTGGATTTTTTCCCTCCTACAAGGTTTAGGGTTTCAGTTTCGGGTCCCTAATCCGTGCAGGACCGCCTGGGTCCCCAGATCTTTTGCTCGAATCCTCAAGAAGTATCGGCTCGGAGGCTTGGAGTGGCCTTGTTACGGACATAGCTTAAGGCACTTAAGAGAGCAAATGATAAGTTCAGATACTCGCCGGACATGCATACATATATATATATATATATATATATATATATATATATGTACACACATATACATGTATGTAAATACACACATTCGCACACATATGAATAACTAAATACAGATACACACGAATAGACAGACATAACATTGTATTCATATATATATATATATATAGACATGTGATGTATATGTGTGTACATGCCCATCCCTTCCGATTCCGAGCCTCCAGCTGCAGCTCGCAGACGAAGCGAGCAGAAAGTGGGCACGCAGGAGAGAGATGGTCGCCTGCTGCAAGCGAAGCTTCAACGGTTCGCAGGCTGCAGGAGTCTAATATAGGGGCCTTAACAGTTAGACTAGGGTTTTCGGGCTTTCTGACCGGACAGAAACCCGAAGCTTCAACCCTAAGCACCATATCCTAAACCCTATACCCTCTACCCGACACCCTAAACCCTGTATACCCTTAACCTTATACGCTACACCCTAAACCCCATAAGTTCTGTGTCCTGTACTCAAAGCCTATAAGGCCCAGGCAAGAACGGCCATGTCAGCTCCCGACACGAGGGCTTGGGCGCTGAGGTCACCTCATTCAGGTTTTGAGCTTCGGGTGCCAGGTTCAGGGCCGCTATGGTGGCGTAGTTAGGCGAAAGCATCTGTGGGGCGGCAACCTTCTTCTCGAAGTGTAGCTGCTGTGCTATCACTAAAGACCCTAAACCCTTTTTTTTTTGCATCCAGGCCTCTTGAAGTCTCTAAACCCTAAACCCCTAAACGGATCTCCCCGGCCCGCACCCTTCGACCTCTCAGGCTTCCTATGCTCGCAACCCGGTTGCCCCAATGGATCCCCGAGAGATTGTCTCGGGCAGTGCTCCCTTCGTTTTGGCTCCGATTTTGTGTAGGTGCTGTTTGGACACTGTAGAAGTCTGCCAAACCTCAACATGATCCATCCAACAGCACCTGCCACGTGCGACACAAACATGCTCATTTCCGACTTGTACCTCAACCTTTCCCGGACACCTGTTTTCGTGCGGCACTCCCACCTTAACGTGATTGCGGTTTATCCCGCAGGAGTGGACTTGTCCGAGTGTAGGTTGTGGGTTCACGCGCAACTCTTTTTCCAACGTTTCGTTGTGACGTTTTTCTGTACCACCTGGCATCTGTTGACGCTGTTCTGTGTTTTCACGCAAGTATTGGGTCAATAATTGACTCATGTCAACTGCTTCTTCTCAAAGTCCACAGAAGCCAACCGCCAAAAAACATCTCTCTGTGAATCGTAGTAGGCTGGAAAAGCAATGTTCTAACCAAGAAATACAGCCTTTCCATTCCACTTGTGCAGGCATATTATAAATGCATGCGGCTGTTGTCGTTCTTGAAAAATCTATCGTCTATTGCTGTCTAATTTCTATGTTCAAAGGTCCTCATGTCGAATCTTCACATCTCATGCTCTCGATGATCCTACCCAATGCAAGCCTTGATCCGAGGCTGTCACAGCACCCTCTCTCCCTCTCTCTCCCTCTCCCGCTTCCGCTCTTTCTTGTTTGCTCCGCTCGCTAACTCTCTCTCTCCCTCCCTTTCCTCTCCCGCTATCTCGTTTCTACTTTTTCTGTCTTTCTCTCTCTCTCTCTCTCTCTCTTTTCCCCTTTTCCTCTCTCTCTCCCTCTCTCTCTCTCTCTCTCTCTCTCTCTCTCTCTCTCTCTCTCTCTCTCTCTCTCTCTCTCTCTCTCTCTCTCTCTCTCTCTCTCTCTCTCTCTCTCTCTCTCTCTCTCTCTCTCTCTCTCTCTCTCTCTCTCCTATCGAGTTCTCTGCTTGCTTGCGACGGAACTGAGCTCGGCCAATGCTTTCGTCAGATTCCGAGGGTGCTCAGCCCATGCTTCAGCCTGTGCTGACCGCAGACAAGACTAATTGGAGCCCCCTCCCGGTATGTGCTTGGACTGTGCTTACATCCATCCATCCATACATGCATCCGTCCATGCATATATACACACACGTCTGTGGATGTATGTGTACAGAGATACATACGTATTACAGTATACTATGTGCTGTATACTGTGGTATGGCACAGTATAGTGCTGCATAGCACAGTATAGTATCGTATGTTACATATTCTGTACTATCTTATTTTATCTCATATATTATACTATTTTAGATATTAAATGCTTTCTTATACACAGACTGAAACCTACTCGGGCATTTGCTGCAAATTCAATTTTAAGCGTCGCAACTGCATCAGGAATGGTGCATAAGCTTACCGAGATATCGTGTGCACAGTTTGATGTGCCGCAACATGCCATGCTGTGTATCCGTGGTGTCGAGAATGTTGCTGTTTTATCCTGGGCATCATTGCAGAACTTCCCTTGCCTGCTGCATACCCTTGAATTACAATGGCTAGGGTTGGACAAAAGCACGTGGGAGATTCGGAAAGCAAAGCGCCACAGATGCCCTTGAGGAGGATGGGCCCCTATAGCTGGAACCCTGGATTTTTCCGGAACCCCCACCCCTGCTCTGTACTTTCAACAGTTCATGGTCACTTCATCACCTCAAAGGGTTTGAGTTTGCACTGCGTGTTTGGGCTTCTGTAGCTCTTGCGCAAATGCCGGCTCGCAACACAGCACTGCTCGAACGGCCTAGCGTGAATACACAGCTGCAGACATGCTCTCAACAATTAGGTGACTTGGTATGAGGAGCGGCGTCTAAATACACATCATAATTATGACGCGGCACGCTAAAATCACGGCGTCCCAGGACAAACTACACATTAAGTGCAGCTTCTCCTGAACCCAGCGAGTTTCGTGTCGCACGCCGTCGATGCCTCCAGCGCTGCACACCGCAGCCGGCCGGCGGCAGAACCCATCGAAGCGGCAGCACAGCTCCTGGCTTCTGCGACAGATCTCCGTGATTCTTGGTTTCCACGGAAGTGCCGGACAAGACCGGGGCCTCAAAGATGCAAGCACTCAAAGACGAGTCACTCAACTAAGAACGACAGTTCTGTAGGGACAAGACTCGATTGTGCCACTTTCGTCTTTGGGACTTTACCCATGCTGACATACCCCATCAAGCCCCTTGAAACATAATTCGTCGGTGGTGCCATGCATGGGCCGCGCCGAACTCTCGGAGCCTCCAGCCAACAGCTTCGAAGGAGCAAAGTCGAGAAAATGTAGTTTTCAAGCGGTAGCTCAAATCCCCTCCACCTCTGTTGATCGTCTCCGCTATCTCTCTTTCCTTCCCTCTCTCGTGCACGGCAGAGGCACCACTCCAAGTGGTGCCCTGCAGCGGCCGCTGCCGCAGCAGCATCTGGCAATGCCTCGCAGATTGAAGTGTTCCAAATCTTAGTCAGGTGTTAGGCTGAACTGCTTGCGGCGGCTGCGCGATGGATTGCTGAGCGTTCCGGACGGCGCGGGAAGAGGCTCGGCGAAAGCGCACTAATGCTTGGGATGTCATGTGATCCAGTGCCGCTTCAAAGACAGGACACATGCTGTAGGAATGGCCTGAAAATTGCGGAAACCGGCCACGGGCATCTGTTGAATTCATGTCCGTCTGGCCTGAGCAATGGCGCTCCCAGCAGGCATGGGCAAAGCCTGATTTGCAGATCGAGACATGCCAGAGAAAACCAAAGAGTTGCGAAACATATACATATATATATTATATGTGTATATATATATATATATTTCTATGTATAAAGCATGTATATGTACGTATGTACATATATATGTGTAAATAAATAAATAAATATATATATATATATATATATCAACTCCGAAGGAGGTTTTTAAGATAGCACGAAGTGGGAACTGGAGCCCGCAATATTGTAGCGAACAAACACAGCACACCGCCGCCGGCGCAACTGTCGCAGGCGGCGCGTGCCTAATTATAGCGATCGCGTAGGAATCTCATTTTGCCATACTAGCGCTATGCTTGGGAACATACCGCCGTTCTGCTACACAAACCAATGCGAAGCTTCCATGAGTCAGGAGCGCGTGCCTCCGAAGCCCTAGGGTGATCAGCAGCCCGGGCGCGATACCTTCCAAGAGCAAGTCGGCCATTATCCATCCATCCATCCATCCATGTTTCCATCTGTCTGTCCATGTTTAGCCGTTTTTATTTCTATCTATCTATCGGTCTGCCTATCGACGTATCTATCTGCCACCAATCTACAGTATCTATCATTCTCTCTCTCTCTCTCTCTCTCTCTGTCTATCTATCTCTGTCTGTACTACAAATCGGGGTGTATTGCGGCGGCTCCAGTAAGATGCCCGATGATACGCTGTATAGTAACATAGGACCAGAACGTCCAGTTCATGGCGTTTTACCTTCCGTTCACAGGGTTATGCACGATTCCCCATAAGATGAACTTCTGGCTCACATGTTCGTTAACTGCCAGTGCCATCAGAAGCAGGAGTGATGTGTCTTGGCACCTGTCAAGGGCCGCCGTCATCAACGAGGGCAGACTACGACGAAACTGCACATGACATTGCATCTCCGGCAAAGCTTTGAAACCTTGGCTCACCCAACATTCCACCACATGAAGGATCCCTTTATCGAAGCGTAGAATCAATCTTTAATCTTTTCTCGCGGGGCAGGCACACCTACAGCGGTGCCCAGCTCCATCGCCCACTCCCCTTGCAGAATCTGGGCTGACCACTGGGCTGTAGCGGAGGCATCAGTCGATTCTATGGGAGCCTAGGGCCTAGGAAACAGAAGACGCTCCTAGAATCCCTCTTAGAAGGTATCGCACCACGCCAGAGTAGTTAGAACAAGTTCACTCAGCCCAAGCACAAAGCAGCACATTGCCGGGCGGGAGCGTCTGCCTGGCACGGTTTGGCGATCTGGGCTGACGAGCGCATGGTCTTCTTTTCTACCCGGGCCCGGGGCGGAAGTGGCAAACCTCCTAGAGAAGATGAGATACTGACACTAGTTATTAGGGCCCCTGTATTTGTCAGAACTGCCGGAACCATCGTCGGGACATGTGCCTCATCCATGCAGTGATTCTGGCTTGAGTCCAGCTATAAGCCATGGACGGGGCAGGGCAACACAATTGCCGAGAATACGAACGTGAAGCCATCAAGAAGAACAATTCCAAGGCTCGCGCCTTTCAAAGACGCAAGTAACTGAACTTCAGACTTGACAGCAGAAGCTCTTCATTCCATGACTCTTGCACATGAGGCCAAGAGACAACTCCCTTCATGCAGAACCTGGCCTGCCACGGAGAGCATGCAGACAGTGCGGAGCGTGTGTAACTTGGCCTCCAGCGGCACCGGATTCTAAGTTCTTCTCTCGACTTGCGCTCCGGAAATTCATGGCTTGAGCCGGAGTTATCAGCAAAAAGAACAGGATTACAATGCCCCTCGAGTACAGCAACACCAACAACGACTGCTGCCACCACCACCACCAGCACCAGCGCCACTGGCAGTTTTGATCGGAAGATCGTTGACAAGCTGCATCACAAGAGGAAGCGTGACCCCTGAATTGGAATCACCATCGTCATCATCATCATCACGAATATCACGGCCACCACCATCATCATGCAAACAGGAGGGAAAAGAACAATGCACAAAACGGCCAAAATAAACATACCATATTGTACTAGAGTATACCGTATATTAATTACTATGCAGTATATCATACAAGATGATGGCGTTTCAGTAGGTGCCTATATCCGAACGAAGCACAAAGCTAGCTCGACACTGAGATCATGAGACTTGACCCTCGAGCCCCCCAAAATGGCAGCAACCTACGGTGCCACAGGATTTTATACTCTCGTCTAGCTGACAGGTCGTTCCTGCGATTTGTTGGCAAGTAGTCTCTCAACTAAACCTCACATTTGAACCTGTGGACCACCATCCATCAAGCCTAGTAAGCACGAACTCTGAGCATCTCTGAGCCCTAGAATCCTAAAACTCTGAAACCATGAACTCCCCAGCCTAAACCCAATCTTCGCTTGCACCCTGGCCTAGAGGCTAGAATCTACGTTTTGAACCCAAAGCCCTGCAAGCTCCAACCAGAAGATCTCGTTTAGTGTTCAAGTCCAGCCAAAACTTCATCAAACTTGCAAAAGACAACACAACCTTTGTGGAAGTAGCAGAAGCAATTGCTGGTAGTTCGGGTTGTTCCAGATATACCCTGAATCTAAAGGCGGCAATTGCAAGGAGGATCGCTGCTCATAGACACCAGAAATACTCCTAAACCCCTGGAGCCCTAAACACGCTATCCAATCTTTAGCTCCCAGCTCCTATACCCCGATGAATCCTATAAACCCTACAAGCCCTATAGTAAACCCTACTCTACCTTCAGGACGAAAAGGTTTAAGGGTCATAGACCATATAGGGATGCATAGTAGCAAAAATGGTATAAGGCCCCTGCTTATCTGGGTCAGGTGGTCCCCAGGTCAGGCCTTGGCAGCCCTCAGCCCTAAACTCCGAGCGCTTAAGCCCTGAACCCCTTTATAGAACCCTTTCATACTGCTGGTGGACAAAATCCTGCATGACCCTAAGGACTCTAAACTATGGGAACTATGGTATATTCCTTATGATGGGTAATGCAGGAGTTTGTCCATCAGCAGTAGGTCCCTTTAGAGGAGCCCTAGGCCCTCAACGTCAAGTCTTAAACCCTTCGTTGCATCCAGGCCTATTTGGGACTGCCGGGTACCCCTAAACCCTTAAATCCCTCAGACCGTAAACCCCTAATCCTTGAACCCTTAATTACAGACCCTAACAACTAAATCTTAAACCCTTAAACCCTTAGACCATAAACCCTAAATCCTGAAATATGCTTCTTGGCCCAGGCCTGCAGGATTCCGGGCGCTGCCCCGTCAGCCGCAGCGTCTGTGCCGAGGCATCGGCGGCCGGTAGCAGCAGGTCGCAACGGTCCGTGAGCTGGCCTCTTTAGGGGGGTTTGGGCTCTAAGGGTTTAGGGTTTAGGGGTGGGTTTCGGGCTTTAAGCATAGCCTCTGATGATCGTTTTGTTCGAGCTCTTTAGCTTTAATTTAGGCCGTAAGGCTTAGTGTTCAGTTCAGAAGGCCTTGGAGCTTGGCTTCAGGGTTTACGCTCTCGCACTCGGACAAGCCAGACGAGGCCTCGCGGTATGATTGCGCACTAAAGGGTAGTGACAAGGCTTTAGGGCTCGATCGCAGAGCAAAGAAAGAGACACGGTTTAGGGCTTAGGGTTTACCTCAACCCTGAAGGACCTACCTTTTTAAGGACTTATACAAGGAAATTATAATAAGGAACTCTAAACGGTAGGTTATTCAGGGTTAAGGTAGGTAGGGTTTAGGTATGGAATCACATCCAAGCGACCGCTGAGCTGGGATGATCACTCCGAGCATCCCAAGGTCAAGACACTGGACCCCGGCTTCAGGGTCTACAGTGGATCCCAGAAAGTTGGAACATGGACTAAGGATGATTAGTGCTAGGATTCCCTATGCTTTACCTTAAAGGCATGAGGATAATGATGGGCTTTGCATGTACCTCAATCTGCATACGAATGTATTGAAAGAGACACATGACACATGCATACCCCCAACCATGATGAGAGGGGCATAGACAGGATACGAAGCGACGTCTATGCATGCATGTGTTTCCATGGCTTTACACACGAGTGCCTATTTTTGTGCATGTGTGCGGTTGCACATATGCATATGCAGCCCGTGCTCGTAATTCTGCATACCGTTGTTGATGCCCAGGCCGCCAATGCACCCCTAAGCCGCTTCATGTGAACCTGCCCTGCAGTTCAGGTTTTTCGTTAACTTACATGGAGAGCTTCTGCAATGTGCCAGCACAAGAAGGCTCGAAACCAAGTGTAGCGTTTTAACACAACAGCCGTAGAACACCATTTAACTCTTCGAAATCTACGGCCCAGCCACAAGGGTTGGGAGAAGACGTTGGTACGCAGGGCAACCGTCTCTGCGCAGGGGCAATGAGACAACGCAGAAAGCCACGCCTGTAAGCTCTGTGCATTCCCCTGAAAGCCCAGGATCGGGCATCCTCACCTCAATCTGACGGTTTAGCTGTCGAGTCAGCCGAATCGACTTTTCGAACCAAGTCGCAGTAGCTCGTGGCATACACAGTCACGAAGACGCAACCCGGCTCTTCACCTGCAGCTCTAGTCTCACACTCGGAATCTCGAGGTAAGCTTTCGCGGGGGAAAGACTGCAGCTGTCTTTGACGGAAGAAACCTTTCGTCTGTTTGACAGCACAAAACTGGGCCACTGAAGCCACCTGTTCGTGAGAGCAGTCACTGACACCAAGACACACAGCAAAACAACTTGCACGTGCTCTTTTTCTGAGTGCCCTGCCGCACCTCATCACACCTTCAATGCAAACCCCGGGAAAACCGACATCTCAGTCGCGGAGAAACAATCATGACAACGCAAAACCAAGTCACGCTCTAACTACCAAACAAAAACTGGACAAGCTATGCCTGCCTGAACTGAGAGATACTGAAATGAGAGATATTGAAAACAGCCCGGCATTCTCTTGAGGGTTTATGCATAATTCATTCTTGCACGGATGTCAGTAAAGTCTGAAAAGCCTTGTACACGAAACTTCTGCGAGTTAATGCAAAAAAGAATCTCGAATAGAAGCTCCGCTCGCATTGATTACATTCCCGCACGAGCTGAGCGAGCCCCCAAAAAGGGTCATCATTTTGGCAAAGCTGCTGTCCCTCAGACAGGAACATTTCCGCCTACCTACCTGCGACGCAGGATCCACAGAAGCAACACAGCGAACATACAGGCAAGCAACAAGAGAGCCGGGTGAAGGGTTTAGGGTTTTGGGAAATGTTAGATAATCACACTGATAGACAATTGAGGACAACCGGAAAGCTGAACAAACAAATGGACCGATAGATGCACAGTTTGTAGGACTGCCAAACATTCATCTGCACGGGTCTGCCCCATGCATCCTACAAAACGCTTTTGTGCATACCTTGCCCACTTGAAGGCTCTCGCTCTCTCTCTCTCTCTCTCTCTCTCTCTCTTTCCCTCTTTCTTTCTGTCTCTATCTCCAGACTACAGGTTTCCCATGCCGCAATCAAGGCACTTGTTCTGATTTTGCAGATGCCAGTACCACAGCCGCACTTGTCGATGTTACAACGGCCCCTGCTAGCCACATCTGGACCCTCCGAAACCCCGTTTACTGTAACTGGCTTGACATAGGGACCTCGGTAGGTCTGACTTCCAAGTCCAGGCACACTCTGCCGGCATGTACCCAGGCTCATTGAAGAGAAAATCGTCACAGGCCTCCTCAAAGCAGAATTGTTTTCATGCCTCAGAAACCCCGAGTCAGTCTCCTGCAGCAGGAGAGCCGCACACAGGCTGGGCGACTGTGATCGTGCGAAGTAAAAAAATGTGAAGAAGGTGCGATGGTATGTAGACCCAAATCGACCCTAATCGAAGGTCCAGAAATTGGATGATTCAGAGGCCATGCGAACACCAAAAGCCCGGTCCAATACGTGAAACTCTGGATCTCCTCTCCGCGCTCGCCATTGCAGCAGAAGCGCCCTGGCTGTGTACGAAGACTCGACAGCAAGGCTTCGAGAGTTTGGCACAAATTGCCAGAAGGCAGCCGTGGGAGCAAGATGTTCAGTTGTTCCTTGTGCCCTTGAGCTGAAGAACGTGTACATCCGCGTCTCCCTGCAAGCTCCACCCTCTCAAACGCGGCACACTGCCTGTCGCAACAAGCTCCACTGTCACGTCCTCGGTGGCGTTGCACCTTCCGGCATCCTTGCAACAGAAAGCAACCCATAATTCAACAGAGAAACTGGACAACCCTAAACCCTAAAACCCTTCTCTCTGCGTACAGTATAGTATAGCCAGTATAGCACTCCGGATGTTCGAACCCTTGCGAACTTAAGAAACCCTTGTAAAGCCTCTATCCAACCCGTGTAAATCCACAGCAGCTATCCCAGGGAACTTACACCTAGCCTCCAGTGGCTTCCCTTCTCATCGGCATCTTAACATCGCTGCACTCTTTCTCTCTCACATTGCCTTCTGATTTGGAGTCTTTAGAGGGTTAAGGTTGAGAGGGCTTAGGGAGATTATGTAATTCTTTTTGCAGACCTGTGGCGATTGCAGTAGAAATATGCAGAAACTATCGCCAACAAGTCCAGTGAGGCAGACATAGGCAGACCTTAGGGTTTGAGCCACGGACACACGAACGGTAGCGGCCCATGATGTGTCAGTCGGGGTCCTCGTCCACATCGGTTTCATTGACGTCCCTCTGTCCTGCTCCATCCCATGCACCTGTCACGGCCGTCTCTGCATTGTGCATGCATGGTATCGGCTGCAAGATGGGGCAGGCCACTTTCTCGGCATAGAAAATTCGCTCGAAGTTGTTGCGCGGAGGGGTGTGAGGTTTGAGGGATTCGGGCACACGTTCAACTCAGACTCCTTCTGGTTCAAAGATGAAACTAAGCAGTTGGAGATGAGACGCAGGATCTACGGAAGTTGCAGTTAGCACGATCTCATATACACGACATAGCCAAGGCTTACACAATTTTGCATATCAGTGGGAGCCAGGTGCTATAAGCACTGTAGTTACTGTAGTTTTCTGCGTCGAACGCGCTTGTCAGCCTTGGGAGAACGTGTTGCGCCACCCTAGTGTCCATGACAACACCGGTTCAGCATCACGGCCGGCAGACAAGCTTCTTCCCAACCATGATTTGTCTGCTCAGGACACATCTCTCGCCAGATGGGCACGGTGCAGCAACTGGCACCAGGCCGAAGGCAAGACCATGCACATGCCGAGAGCAGCCGAAGACATCAGGCGAAGAGCAAAAAAGGCAATCATACTGAGACGAGCACAACTCCCACTAATGTCACCAAAGCTCATGAGGAGCAGCCCCAAAGCCAGGAATTGTAACAAGAGTCTGACCCGTCTTCGAAGAACTTACGCACGCAGGTCAAAGGGACTGCCTGTCCGCTCCTCCCAGAAGAGCGCCGCATTGCGGTGTGCCTTGGTGACCTTACACAGCAAGGCACCCCATGTAATTTAGAACCTCGTTGTATACGACTGAAGGGACCGACTGAAGGGACAGACCGGTTGAGAAATCTACTAGCTGACCGTCGGCCGACCTTACTGGGGGGTGGTGTTTATCAGGATCCTACCCTCTGGGGTCTACATTCGGACACTATCCTGACAATAGCGTCCTTGCTATGCGGAGCTGTGTTGAATGACGTACTTCTCATGCTTCGCTTCGGGGGCCTGAGGCTTTTCCATGTTGTATTCGTGTCGGGGAGGAAGCGAATTCGGGAAAGCATCTTCAACAGTAAATGGCTATTACACTCTTCGGCTTGGGATTTGCGGCTTGTGTTTCTCTGAATCGAATTCGCTTCCACTCGTTGTCGTCTGCTGACTGTTTCATAGATCGGGGCTTGAATCTTGTTGGATGGCGTGCCCGAAGCTTCATGTCTTGGGTGGCTCTGACTGAAACATGCTGTCACCCAACCGCGCAAAAAGCAACAAACCGAACAACAAAGTATGCCACTAGGCAGCAATGAGAACAAGACAAACGATCATCATGCAAGAAATGAGCATGAAGTAGGGGCTGTGGTGGAAATGAGAACAGCAGTCCCTGTAGTTCCTAATTTAGTTACTATTAAGGCCCCTACATTGCTTCTCAGTCCCATGGTGGGTGTCGCCTCTGGTCCAAAGCACCGACACACTGCTGAAGAATCTGCATAACAGCACCATGCAACCAAGTTGTCGATGGTCGATTTAGAGGCTTATGATATACAAGGGCCCGGACTTTGCTCAGATTACAAGAAGAAGTTTAGGAATTGGCGGGTTTTAGGTTTAGGATTGTGGATTCTGGGTTTTGGGAGACGACATTCCTGCTTCGCTGTCGGCAACCAGGGCAGGCATCAGAGCACCGGAGGACAGAAGCCAGGGCACAGAAGCGTTTAAGGCTTTGGGGCGGTCGAGTTCATCAGCACCTTCCGACATGCTTTGTGCTAATTCGGGCTTTGAGAGCGCTTGAGCAATCGGAAGCAAAGCCGAGCCATGCCGCGGGTAGAGCCCGGGTGCCCGACGCCCACATCGCTGAGCAGCGCAAAGAGCATCGCAGCTGCCGGGCGCGAGCCCCTGTCCCAGGCCCTCAGTCTCGGGAATCGATGGTTGAGGCTTAGACATATTTAGTGCTACAGGTGTTTGCGGACTTCTTGCGACTGCAAGCTCCGGACTGTCAATGCTAGAGCTGCTGCTGCTTCTGCTGCTGCTGCTTGGAACGTTCCTACTGCTTCCCACCTCCTGCTGCAACTGCAACAACTGCAACTGCTGTACTACTACTGTGATGTAACTACCTCTGCCAATGCCAACATCCCACACTGAAAGGAAGCCAGGGCCAATGCTAACATCCCGCCAGGATTTCCGGGCGACCTCATGGCAAGCGCGAAGAGCAGCCGGACGGTGGGGTCCATGTCACGAGCCTCGATTCTGCGTGGGGCGGTCAGAAAACATGATACTATACAAAAGAGCCTTTAAGAGTTAGTATAGGGTTTGGGGGCACATTATACTGTAAGAAATTAAAGGAACCACCAAAATACTACTATAGGTCATCAGCAGGGCCCTTATACAACTATACAGGGACGAAGGCCGAGGATTCTGCTGCTTGGGAACCTTAATGGGGACCCCTACCCTATAATGGGCTATGTAATGGGTATATAATAGCTATATTAAGGGTATATACCTAGGGGTCTTTATTAAGGGTCCCTCCTTTTACCCTTGGATGTACTGAAGATGCACCAGGCTGCCACTTCGGCAAACTCCAAACGAATCTCGTGGCAGTCGGCCAAGGACAGGTTCTCCTCACCAAATTGTGAAGGCTTTTCTTTAGGCTCAGAAACACCGAGCGTGGAACAGCACTGTGTTTGTCCTTTGTGACACATCTGCAATCCCAAAAGCTATGGCCCCAAGAACCGGCACAAGAATTTCAGGCGCAACATTCTGGAACCAAAGGCTGAGCAATAAGTGGCCAATCAGCACCTGAACCTGCAACCAAAACGCGAAACTTGAACTCTAAAAGTCAATCCGCAGGGAAACCATGACAGTGCAGCGGTCCGGTATGGTGGCGCCGCTACCGTTGGTCAAAGACTGGAGCAAGAGCACACCTGGGAGCTCCGATTTCACAAGCGGGCCGGGGGATCTAACCGAATCGACTCAGATCGTGGCTAGCCAGATTCAAGAATCCCGGCATTTACAGCATGAATTCTGTGTACTCATGTGCTCTGGCTATCACCGCTTCTGGCAACAACAATCAGGCAGCTTGGATCCCCAGCCGATGTTGTAACGGGTAGGCAGTTGTCCCGCGCTCGCCACCTCAAGACACACGCTCGGTGGAATGGGCAACTTGCCAGAAGCTCTCTCTCTCTCTCGCTCGACCGACCCCTGCCGCTCATGCCGGATTTCTGAGCAGCTTGCCGCTCACAATGCACGGCCAGTACAAGGACTGGGGGGGAGCAGTCTAGAAACCGTTGGAATCGAGAACGAGGTCGGCTTAAAATACTTAGTGGCCTTGAACAATTAGAATAAGGTTAGGGGTGCATTATACACGATAGTCATAATAATAAGGAGCCCCCGCAGTAGTATAGGTAAGTTCTTTAGACGAAGAGAAAGCAGAAAGATATGGGAGCTCGAAACAAGGAAGGACTCCGTGTGTACACCTTCACCCAAAGGATCCATGGTAACATCAAGACTTGAAAGAACCTACTTGTCCAGTTTATTGGGGTTATACAAGGATTATCTACTCTACTACTAGGAGAGAAAGCTTACAAGCCCCTAAGCGCCAGAAATCCGGACTCCACCGCCTGTCGAAAGTAGTCAAGGGCAAGCGAAAGATTGCGGCCACCGGGCAGCTTCACATCTGCATCCTTCGGACAAGGTTGTGGGCGCAGCAAGGGGATCTAAACCCTGGCCCTTTTCCCTAAACCCTAAACTTGCAAACATTTGTGGTCGATGGCTGTGCTTACGAAGACATGAAGCATCTACCAACAAGGTTTATACCAAAAACCTCTGAATCGACACGTATAGTTCGGGGTTCCGTGAACTCCGCCTGAGACGCTTACCCCTTCCCTTCATAATTTCGTTGTAACCTGCATCCCGAGCGTCCGTCCCAAACCGACTGGTGACAGACCTGGCCACATTTAGAACCCTTCGAGGCTCCTTTTCATAAGGGTGCCGTATTTTCGGGGATTATAAAGGGGACCCCTACCCAGACCCACATGTTAGCACCGAGCCGCCAAAGAACCACCCTGTGCCCCAGGAGCCTCCCGGGTGCTGAGCTCGGCCAGAAGCGTCACGGCGTTGATCTGTTTGGAGGGTTTAGGGTTGAGGGTTTAGGGTTTAGGGTTTAGGGTTGAGGGTGTGTCGGAATACAGCCGAAGTGATAGTACGACGAATGGTAACAATGATCAGGAAACAGAAGTGCCTCATGATGCTTCAAAAGCCATGATCTCAGCAGATAATCATAACAATGGAGGTATTTCTGCATGTTCTCACTCGGCCAGTCGGATGAGGTCTCTGGGTGTGCGGCAGTGTCATACTCGCACTCAGCTTGACACAGTGAGGAGGGTCTGGGGTTCTGGTTGCTGGCAGAATGTACAGTCGTTGGCTTGAGCGGCTTTCCATCGAACCCCTAAAGGCCAGTGAATGAGAGCTGACGACTTGCATTAAAAGGCTTTGTTGGAATATCAGTATGCTGTGAAGCGAAGCGTGTCGATTGAATTTTGGAGGAGACTTCTTGCAGAATTCTTCAGCAGCTTGGGGCAGCAAAGTCGGCGCTCCTTACAGTGTTGTATAAGGGCTCGTCGACAGACATGTGGCAGCCAAACAACTTCAAAACCATCATCAGGAAGCTGCCTGTAAGAGGATACAAAGTGACAAAGACTACGCGGCGTCCAGCACAGGTTGAACCATGTATCAAACCTTCTTGTGTAGTTGTACCGTCCGAGTCGCGCAGAACCCGAGCCGGGTGAAACCATGTCTGCGAAATCCAGCCCAGGGAAATCCTGCAAATAGTGAATCCACTAACCCATTTCTTCGGATTTCTTCGACGAAACAAGGCCCGGCCCCTCGCATCCCGCAACGCCTCGCCGACATCTGCGGCCTGCTGCAGCCTCATGTAGGACCGGAGGCACAGGATCAAATGTCATAACAATCATCTGGACTTATCAGGTCCAGGTGATGCGAACCCAAACACATCGTGCTTGTCAAGCAAGCTGCCAGGCAGCTTCCGCGAATTTTCGCTTCCGGCAAATGCTCCCGAACCCTATGGCCCTCTGTGCCCTTACACGCTAGAAACCCTCGACCAAATTCGATGACCTCGACCTGCATCAGCCACCCAAACGACCAAAGCCACCGCTTCCTTCGTTTTGTCCACCTGCTGCAGTTCAGGCAGCCGCGGCATTTTGGAGAAAGCCTACAATACAGAAAGCAGCTTGCTGCGGCAGTTCCGCAGCAGTCTAAACAAGTACTCCTGATCAAGGCTATAAAGCCCCAACGCCTCTTTTCTTTTGGGCTAGGCCCTCGTCCACCCCAGCACACTAAGCCTCGAGAACCTGGACCCAAGCCCCATTACCACCCTTATAAACTCTAGACATTGGGTTAAGGGTTTACGGTTCCTAACCCTGTAATTACCCGTAACCCCCCCCCCAGAACCCCCTAAACCCTCTCTCTCTCTCCCAGGCATTCCTGCAACCCCCTAAACCCTAAACCCCTAAACCCCCATGAACCCTAAACCCCCGTAAACCCTAAACCCCCAGAACCCCTTAAACCCCTCAAACACAGGGCTCGATCTTCGCCAAGCCGCCAGAGCCCGGCTTTCTCGGGATCCTGGCAAGGAGGGAGCTCGGTCTCCAAAGAGCCGAGATCTGGGTTGTCAAAATTAGGGTCGCTTTTGGGGTACCCTAAATATGAGGTGCCGTATGATAATAAGGACCCAAAAAAGGATCTCAATTTTGACAACCACCCATCTGGGCTTAGGGCTCAGGTCAGGATTTCCTTTGGGGTTGCGGGTTTAGGGTTTAAGGATTTTTTTTTCCCTTCGGTCAGGGTTTCCTCTGGGGTCTTTGAGGTTTCGGTTTAGGGTTCATGAAGTTTTTTCCCCCCAAGTCAGGATTTAGTGTCTTTGGGGTTTCGGTTTAGGGTTCATGACGTTTTTTTCCCTCCTACGTAGCAAGAAGAGGCTTAGAGCTTAGGGTTTAGGGTCTCGGGGGATTCGGCGCTAAAACTCGGACAATCCAGGCGAGGCAAGGCGGTCTAGTCTAGAGGCTTACCCAGAGAGCCCAATACCCCTAAGTAAGGAATATACCTAAAATTATACGGGGATTCATAATATGAATTTAATTCCCTAATTAAGGAGTATTGGGCTCTTTGGGTAGGGTCTTTGGGGTTAAGGGAGCTACGCTCTCGCAACTCGGACTCAGCCAGACGAGGTTTCTCCGTTCGCAAGCTCACTACTACTTACAGCCGAGGGTCAGGTCTACACCACGAAAACGACAGGATAGACTGGAAGAGAGAAATTAACAAAGGCGGTGTACATTTCGACCTGAGCCCAGAAGGCGATACTTTGATCGAGCATGTTTACGGCTTCAGTGCAAAATCTTGGGTCCAGGGTCTTTGGGGTTTAGGGGCCAGGGTCTTTGGGGGAAGAAGGCTGTTGTTGTGCCGCGCTTGTGCATGTTGTCAATGCAGGTAACGGTGAAGCTCCGCGGAGATATACACCCTATGGCGATGGTGAGAGTGACAAACATGGGAAGGCCATTGCAGGCTTCCTCAAGGTGAACCTTGAAAACCACTTGCGCCGTACATTCTGCATCCAAGAGGGGGTTCCAGTTGAAGCAAGGCAGAATGATAAAACAACAAGCGTTCCTTCACACCGGCTTGGACTAACATAAATTCCAGCACAGCACTCAATTTACAGCACCACAACCGCGCCGCCTCAAAAATAACTAGCCACCACAATCCTAAATCTTGGGGCTCGTAGCCCCTAGCCTGATGCACGTGCCAGCCACCCAGAACAATGAGTTTTCGACACGCACTATTCACCCATGTCTAAACTACAAGTCTCGAGTTCGTGGCTCCTCAGTTCTTTTCAGTTCCAGGTTTGCACGCGACATTTGCACGAGGCTTCGCCCTGAGCTTCGGGATCCCCAAACCATCCTACCATCCTACAGCGGAATTGCGAAAGAGGCTGCGGAATAACATCTGGAGGGCCTGGAGCATGAAACATCTGGGAGACTGAAAGAAGGAAGAGCTCATCTTTCGAAGCTCCGGCTGGGAACTCCGGCACAAATCGTTCCGGCCGGGCCGTGGAAAACAAGGCCGTGTGCACTCCCAAAAAGACCCTGGAGCCCAGAGCATGATGCCTCTGAAATCCTCCGAAGACTTGCAGCGCAGCGTTTCAGAAAAATTTGGATCCTTGGCCACACCCAGTCCCAGACGATGGCGGAAGTATTGCGCAAAGGCACGCCTTGGACTGTGCCGGCATGGAAATGGGCGGGAGTTTTGTACTGACTGTGCTCCTGGCTGCGAGTGTCTTGAACTGCATGTGAGGCTCCAGAAGCATGCCCCTGAAGCCATGAGTGACATTTACCTGCAAATTACCCTGTCGCGACCTACATGGACACCTTGCAGCCGGGTGGCGCAGCTTCGTCCGCATCCGACTCCACCACTTGGGTCAAGTAGGGCTCCGCCTCGCCTGGACTCCGTGCAAGACGCACCGAAGAAGCACTCACGGAAGCAGTGCGAGTGACAAAACAACATGTTGCAAGTGTGCACGACTGCCATGCAGTGCTCATCTAGTGCAGAGAAGTAACACCTGAAAGACATGTACGACGATACAGTTAGCCCCAGGCTTAGGGTTGAAGGCAAAGGGTTTAGTGCCTACGGTTTATGTACTGTCGGTTCAGGATGCAGGGGCCGAGATCCTAGCTCTTGTTGTCGCCATCGAGCTTGATCATCGCCAGGGCATAGGCCTGGCACCCAGAGATTCAAACACAACTCATGGCACTCCGGCGGTACAAGACGAGTATAAGCTGTATATCATAACACCCTGAGTCACGGGAAGGTCATATAGGTTCCCTCAACCCAAGACAGTAAACGTTCTGAGAGCCGGCAGCAACCCTGGCCGTTGGGGTTCGGCTCGGTGGCCCGCCTCCCCTTCCCCACCCCCACAGTAACCTGCACAATGTAGGGCACTATAGTTCTATTTAAGGAGTCCTCAGAAATCGCACAGCGAAAGCATGAGATGGTATTAGTTGTTCTGACCCCCAAAACCCTTTTGCATCCAACTCCTGAGGGTGTGGCCCAAACCCTAAACACCTAAACCCCCTATATGCCCGAGACAACTGCAACTCTTCCAAGGCCGCCACTGCTCCCCAGTGGCCAGCGTCCGCCGCTTCACGGAAAAGGCTGCTTGCCTGAGTCGGCGGTTCCCAGGGTGGGGGATTTAGGGGTTCCTTTAAAGGGCTCTATCAGGGTACTATAAGGGTACTATAGGGGTTTAGAGGTTTACGGGTTGCGGGTTTAGGGTTTTGGGGTTAGGGTTCAGGGCGGATGAGGATTCAGGGTTTTGGGTTGTTGGGTGTAGTGTTGTACACATCTTTGAACACATAAGTTGTTCAGTTCTAGAGGTCATAGTGTTGCTTCAAGTTCGACTAGGGCAAGACGGCCGGTCAGCCCGAAATCCGGAGTTGCAGACCGTCTACTTGGAGGATCATGGGACTTAGTAAGTCAGGGTATAAGTTCCTCAAGTGGGCGTATAAGTGGCTATAGGTATAGCCGTCTCAAGTCGCAAGTGGGTTTCAGGAGTTTGGGATTAAGGTTTGATTATGTTTCGTCGCAATTTCAAGCTGTAGCGGAAAGATCCTGTCCGACAGAAGCGCTAGTGAGTCTGCAATGTGCGACTGACTCTTGCTGGCTATTTATAATTGTGTAGAGAGTCGAATGGCCCTTGGAACAAAGACAGGATTGAGCTTTGAAAAGATCAATGCCTTGAGGCTCTTGAGCGTGTAACTTTTGGTAGCCTATAGGCGCTGGTCTCCTACCTCTCGAATGGACAAAACCCCACCTCCGAGCATGAGCAACAACCTCAAATACCACGCTTTCAAGCCATATGCAAACCTCTGCACGGAACCCTCTTTGTGCTCGAAGACTTAACCAAACAACAGAACAAGCAAATATCCTCTCTCTCCGTCTCTCTCTCTCTCTCTCTTTCTCTCTTTCTCTCTGTCTCTCTGTCTGTCTCTCTCTCTCTCTCTCTCCTTACGTACAACCACGCACACACACACACACACACAAAACAAAACAAAACACGCCTTGAGACCGAAACTCCATAAGTCGCAAGCCTCGAATCTTAAACTGTCGAAAACCCGAGAAAACAACTCAAAAACGTTTAAACCTCGTAGACTCCACAAGCCCCTAAAATCCCGACCCCTTATCCTAGAGAACCCTCAGCCACCGCAGTAGCCCCGGAGTGCTACAGTTGACCCCATCGCCTCTGCAGCGTCCGGGGCCAAGTCAGCAAGGTCCGAAGCCCCGGGCCCTGCAAAATAAACACATAAAGCTCCGAGGACGAGAGGAGCGATATCGGTATCATTACCTAAACCCCCAACCTAGGTAAAATAATGGGCCAATTCCCCTAAAAAGCTATTAGTCTACATACTTTTGGGGTCCAGGCAAACCCAAACCTCCCTCATTTTCATCCTGACCCTGCTGGAGGTGAACTTTCAAGGGTTAGCGTGCCTGGCCAAGCCAGCCATGCAGCAGCCGCCAGCACCAGCCTTGGCTTAATTTCTTCGATTCTACAGGCATCGTTGCTTCAAGTGCACGAACCAGTCGAGCACAAGAGAGCCCTACCACTATACTACAACAATAGTAAGGAACCCCGGAGTAGTGATTGGTATAGGTCATTATTTAAGCCCCTATGTTATGACGCTGAGGCCCATGCAACAGCAGTCGTAGCCAGACGCAGCTCCTGGTGCCCTGTCGTTTCGTGGGGACGGGCATCGGTCGGGATGTTGTGGATATGGGAGTTTCCGAAATTAAGGGTACCTGATATTTGGGGTCCTTATAATAGAAATCCTTCTGTTTAATTAGGGTACTATACTCGGGCCATCTCGGGCCCCTGATTTCGGAGACTCTCATATTATGGGGATGGCAGAAAATCCGGGACCAATCCATGACATGTTTGCTTGGATAGACCATGACCGCCGTCATCCGAATCCGAAGGACCCCAAACCACAAACCCTTAGTTTTCATAATTCCATGGACTCCTCGACAAAGGACCCCGAATATCAATCGGCTACCAACTGGCATGTTAAGCAGCCTTGGGCTCGGAGTTTGCAAGAAGCGACGAACACCCCAGCGGTCAATCCAGCTAGCTCACGAACATCAGAACCTGGAACTAAATCTACGTATGCACGTGTGTGTGTATAGGTATGCATGCAGGAAGATGGGTATGTATCCATGCATGTATGTGTATATTGATGTGTCAGCGCATTCGTGTATTGTTGTAACAAGTGGCATAGAAATATGATGTAAGGCATGTGCACACATTTGCCAACCCAATACATAACATACATGCGTCTGCATATATCGTCAACCGTATCAGCTACATCAGAGCGCCCTACGCACAGCAAAGCGGCAGACCTGCCAAATATTGACGAATTCGAGTTTGCAAGTGCGGTTTGCAGGACCGCTCAGGGCCCCGAGCGCCCGGAGGCCCGGAGGCAGTCCCCAGTTGACTTTTCAGCTACAAGTGCAAAGTCCCGACACACACAAACACAAACACACACACACACACACAAGCCAAGCAAACATGGCAAAGCAAGCATCGGACTCGCCAATCGTTCTTCCACATTGTAGCAGCATTGTAGCAACAGCTGAGAGCCTAAATTCTCTGACAGCTCAGAACCCCAAACCCTAAAACCCGAAAATCCCAACCCTAAAGTTTGGAAACCTTAAACTTAAACCCACTGAAAGCCTTAAACTCCCTAAAAGCCCCCAAACCGAGCCTCCTGCGCAGCTGCCTCCTGACCTTCCCTTGCCAGTGCCCTGGGAGCTCTCCGACGACAGGCTTTGGGAAGCAGCCACGCAGCCAAAAGCAGGCCAAAAACAGCCTCACTTTGGGTTTAGAAAGGGCTTCAGGGCAAAATTGGTGTAGGGCTTAGGGCCTTACCCTAAGGCCCCACTTTTGGGGGTTCATAATATACAGAATCCTATAAGGTAATCCCAAAAAGGAACTACTTTGGGGCCAATGGGTAGGGAGGATGTTTCTGGGTTGTTGCAGTTTGGGGCTTCTCCTGGTCTTCGGTTCCTCCTCTCAAAGCAGGTCCTTCAGCTCCGACTCTTGTGTCGCGCGACTTCACTCTCTCAAAATTTGTGGACACACATCAACAATAACCCCCCCGAATTGACGAGAGAGTCGTCGGAAACAGAACAGCATCGCAGTGAACTGTTCCCGTGGTCTGCGGGCGATCTTCGGCGACGAATCCGGGTTGTACGTGCAGAACTCACGAAGCAGACTGCACGTCGGAGACGAGGTTCCAACTTTGGATGATAAGAAACACAAAAAAGCAGGATTCCTTGGTTCTTTGACTAGTAGCGCGAATCGCGCAAGGCCAGATACTCCAATCAGTGGTGTGAAAAGCGGAGGATTCCACTCAACTCTCGGTCACAAAGCCCAAGGCAGCCGATCGCAGATCAAAGCAAAGCAAGCGGTGCAAAGCAGGACAATCAGAGATTAAAACCGTAAGTTTGACGCTCAGCGGAAAGGCAACACTAGAACCCCCAGGCGCTAGCGGACCTTTTGCTGGACCTGACACAGGGTCGGTCTTGAGCAGTCAAGCTGCGTAGTGAGACAAAGTTGGTCTGATTCCTAACCAGAAGGCAGAAGCACAGATACACATGTCAGTGACAAATCACACCCCCCTCGACGCGAGCTCACGCGTGAGAAGAGCGGAGTTTAGGAGAGTCACATCCACTGATTGTGCACCGAGCCACACCTCTTCCGGTCAGCTAAGCTTGAAGCAATTAAGAACCATTAGATGTGGGTCGGTCTCTGCATCTGGATCATACCTATGTTTCACTTCTGTACAAACGCAGCCTTTTTGTGATCGTCAGGCGCATAGCGAGTTGCCAAGTGATCGGTGGCAATCGGATGTTCCATCGGATCTATGCGGGTTTTACGTATTAGACTCAATGCGCTCAGAGTGAGAACTCGGCAGCATCGAGTGTCCGTGAAAAGAGAGGGACACACGAGGAAAATACCATGGCTAGCCATTGTACCCCTGTGGGTCTTCTCAGCGCGGCGCAGGCAAGGAAGGCTGAGGAAGTAGCGGAAATTGTATCATAGCCGGGTTTCACCATCAGAATCCGCCTGACCCGAATGACGTGTGGAACATGGGTCAGAAAGACTCAACCGGATTCACCTTGCAGTGACACAATGCATCGCCACGCAGGTCGACGGTCGTTACCTACGAGTCGTGGGGCTACGGGTACGGTCCTTGTTTCCTCGTCCGGAACCGCCCCTTCCTTTGTTTCCCTTATCACCCTTCCCTCGGCCTTTCTCCTGCTTTCCTTTTCCTTTCTCGGCTTTCCCTCTTCCTTTGCCCTTCGTCGGCTGCCTCGTGTCATCAGCTTCATCGATGAGGCCTGTCACGTTTGAGCCAGTTCGGGATTTGCCCTTGGCCGTTGTTTCTTTGGCCGGGCCCATCGTGCGAGATCGTGGCTCAGTCGAAGCGGAATCGGATGGAGCTGGAGGTGCGGGATCCGCAGTCTCAGCAACACGCTGTTGTGTACGCCCTCGCGCCTCTGCACTAGTAATCACCCGACCAGGAGTTGGCCGCACAATCGAAGGAGCCCATTTCTCGTCGCGGGCTGATTTCGAAGGTGGGTTCGAAGCAGTGCGAGTATTTGGTGCAGGGAACTTGGGGTTAATCCGTTCCTGCGTAGTAGCGGACGTGCCTCCAGGCGAGGCAGCTCTTCCCGCTCCTGTTTCCTCGGCAGAGGGAGGAACTACGCCAGCCGCCTTCATATTGATAGGGTCATCGGGATTTGCATTCATCGAAATGATGACATTGGCGACTTTCTTCCTGACAACAGGCAGCGTGTTCGGTGCGTGATACATGCGAATAATATCTTCAATCGTCGGGTTGTCCAAATCAGGCTCCGGAACCCGGGTCTTCATTCGCAGTACCAAGGGTAGACCCATTTGATCGGAGTAGGGTGCCCTTCCTGAGACCATCAGTGTCTCCCCTTCAGCGTGGGGAACATTGTAGCCCGATTGCCTCGACGTCTTCCGACTCGGTGGGTTAGACGGAGGCGGCATCTCGCGAGGCGGAGGCGGGTTCGTCTCAGGAGCGACACCTCCGAGATGCTCTCGCCCAGTGCGTTGTGACTTCGGGCCGGGTCGGATCGCCCGTTCGAGCTCAGTATCATCCTCGTCCTCGTCATCCGGAGGAACGGGGACGGCATGAGCTTCGGGGATCGACGCGTGCCGTTGCTCAGTGGCCTGCACTCTGCGCTGAGGCGCATCAGCACGTCGTCGTGCCCGCTGAGCTGCGACGTCGAACAGATCTTGAGGCTCTTCTAGTTCATCGGGTAGAGCCTCGAAGACATCTTCGTTCTTTTTCAAAAGAACAGGGTCAGTTCTCTTAGTATCGGGGAGCTGATCCTTTACGCCTTCAACAAGATTGAAGAACGTCTTCTCAGTCGCGCGATCATCGTCGAAACATTCCTTAATCTTGACAGAGTGATCGCGAATGAACTCCTTGAATTCCTTACGCTTCTCATCAGGCGTTTCGGGGGCATCAAGGAGTGCCGTATTCCCATCAGCAAAAATCGTGAATCGGGAATCGGTATGGTGCGGGATGAACTTCCGCCCCAAAGGGTCCAAATCACGCCAATTGATGGCTTGGACATCGGGTTCTTCTTCTTCCCCTTTTCCTTTCCCTTTGGGCTTCTCAGTTGCCGCCGCAGTTCCTTCGATCTCCTCTGCTTCATCGTCAGAGATGTAGCCAGGTTCACCTTTCATCGGAATGCCGTAGCACGTCGTGAGGGTAACCTTGGCAAGGAGCGCGGAAAGGCTTTCACTATCGACACGCATGTATCGCTGATACTTTTGCGTGTCCGTGATAGTGGCACGAACTCATCCAACGTTCCAAACTCGGTGGAAAGTCGAATTTGCCTTCTCATCGCCAGATTGGCGTTCTGCAATGGCAGATGCGCGAGCCGAATTTTCTCGACCATGTCTGAGTCGACGGTATAATCGATCGTCCCCCCTGTGTAAAAGGGGGAGAGATAGCCGCGCGACAGGCAGACTCGGTATGCGCGCTGACAGTGGATCGACCATCGTGCATAGTAGCACAGCGGCTTCTCGCGGCATGTGGCGAAGACCGCGCCGAAGTGCTTGACTATCGTGATTGCACAGGCGATCGACTGCGAGTTGAGGAACTCTTCCACACCGCTCCGAGCTTCCTTGCCAGTGATACCGGCAACAAGCCTCTCAATGGAGATGTCCAATCGAATGGCGCCTTGAATCGTTCCGCGCACGCTCTTCTTGAACAATTCCACTTCTTTCGGCGATGTATCAGCTGCAGTGCATTTGATCGGTGGCACCCCGAAGAACGCGGTTTGCCTGTGGTCCTCAGCGATTGACCTAGACACCGGGAAATTCCTCAGCTGCTTGATTGCAGGGTACTCGTGAAGTCGGAATTCTTTAAGCTCGTTTCGCTCAATGAGCTCGTTGAGCCATTCGGCATGACTTCCATAGTACTCGACCTGAAATGGGTTCACAGGATCGGCGTAGAACATCCCATCAGGATAGTGAATCGGCTTGGTGCAAGAGTGACACATGTGGAGACCCACCGGGAATGATGCTCCGCACATGGGGCAGTCGAAACTAGCAAGCGGCCACGTTTCTCGTTTGTGGTCTCCTCTCTTGGGGCCAGTGCCGAACTTTGGGCCTCCAACATATTTGAAGGCCGTGTTGAACACTAGGGATCCCGTGTCCATGAAGTATGCAATGGGCATACAGGCGAGAGGGATACTGTCTTTGATCGCATAATATCCCCTCGGGTGGAATACAATCGGATTGATTCCCGCCGCAATCATGTGCAAATCAATCGCAAACACGATCATGCGGTTGGATCCCATCCCTTCAGGGAGCATGGATTGTGATGACGCGGTGTTCGAAAGCGTCTCACGCCCCGGGTTCATTCGGACGTTCATGTACACCTCTTCCCACTCATTGTTGTTCCCAGATCCGGGAGCATACGGGAGCAGAGTGAGGAACAGCCGTCCTTTCGGAGGATTGAGCTTGCAATCGCTCATGTACCCGAAGAATTCGCGAATCGTTGCGCATCCCCATCCATACTGAGGATGGTATCGGGCCACATTTCTTTTCCTCTCGCCAGCGACGTAATGATCCTGAGCGAGCTGGATAAATGGCCCGTGCTGGCACTTGGTCAGCAGTCGGAATCGGTTGAAGTTATCAGGGCCGAAACCGTAGGTGGCTCGAATGCCGACAAATTGAGGACTTCCATCGTTGTCGATCGTCGAGTAGAAGAACTCAAACATTCGGTTGTTGTCCGTCCGAGCGATCTCCATAATGCATCGGGTAGTGATCTCGGTCGGTTCGCCTTGCTCATCCAGAATATTTGTCTGGAGAAGAATTCGGCCATCGTTCTCTCCGGCGTTGGCCTTCATGTATTCCCTCTCACGCTCCATGTACATCGGAATGACATCGAAAGCGATAATGCCACTCTGGTCGAAGCGTGAATACAAGGGAATGCCCCTTTCTTGATCCTGGGGGCGATTCTGCGTTCTCTCGGCAGTAGCGGAAGGATACTCCTTCGTTTGCGTCAGCACTCGGAACAGCAGTTTCCGCACCAAGTTGATCATTCCTGCGTCCGGAATCCTGGCAGCGGGGATGTTTTGTGCGTCGTCTATCAACAATCGGCTGCACGACACGGATGTTCCGCCGACGGATCGGAACTTTGCCTCCTTAGCATTGTATGCTCGGACAGCGTCATGGATCTCGCGGCAATCCTCGTAAGACTCCGGTCGGAGGAAAGAATCGTGATCTCCTTTTACCGGTTTCTTGTGAAGTGCGACGTTC